CAAAGTTATCAGTGTTCACATCCTGAGCAAGGCATATGCCTACTGCTCAGTGAACAGGAAAGAAAGCCAAAGGGAGGAAGGAGGCAGGGAGTTATTTCTGCTTTTTTTTTTATATCACTCATAATTTTAAAGACTTCTATCATGCTTCTGTCATCCATCTCTTTTGTAAACTACATGCCTTCAGTCTCTTCAGTGTTTCTCACTGTGAAAATTCAACCAAATCTGCGATTTGCCCTCCACCCTAGATTTTGTTATGTTCTTTTCTGGTAAGTTAACAGGAAGAATTAAAAAGAACTATGTTAGATCATTAACATCATGTTAGAGAAGCAATAATTATCATTATTTATAAATTATCTAATATGCACATGCGGGAATATATCATTAATACAATATATTCTGTTTTAATTTCCATTGAAGTCTCAATCATGTCTTATTATGTGAGAAGAGGCAGATGGACCTAGGAGAGAGGTTCCAGACCACAGTCTCTTATGCCAATGTAGAAAACAGGACACAAAGGCAGCAATATACCTTAGTACTTTGTGTTTTGTGATTTTCAGCAGGAACTACGCAGGGGCCATTTTGACATTGGAATAAATGGCTATGAAATATCAAGTATATCACTGATTTTCTTTGACTGTCCAACTATAGCATGAGAGCTGTGTACTTGCTCTTCATTTGCCTCTTGCTGCCCCTAGTGACATAGAAGACTTTGAGCTGAAAGCTCCCACCAGGGTATCCTGTGCATCTTACATGAAATAAAATCTCATGACCTCTCATAGGATCTGGATCTGTCACTCCTTGTTCCAAACAGCATATGCCTGAAATTTTGTGACTTCATTTGTCCTTATTCAGTTTTTTAGGCACACTGTCAGCTGGGAATATTCAGTGGTGCATGTAAAAAGCTTCAGTACTGATCCTTCGCCCAAGCAAGACCTCATTGCCTGTCAGCATTTTCTGACATGAATAAAACAAAGGGATTCCCTATTTGAATAGGTGACACAGCTACTGAAACTGAGGAAATTCCCCACATCTGCTTCACAATTTGAAACATCTAAAATGAGTTAGGACAAGCAATTTTTAAAATCTGATGTAAAGAAACTGTATTGGCCAGTCCTACTCTCGATTTCTGAGATTTTTTTCCCTTAGTGCAAGTGTTTGTGGGGTTATTTTCCCTGACTACCAATACTCCCAGGGGATGAAGAGAGTGGGAAAATGACCTCAGGATGAACAAATTAGAGAAATCGTAATGGTCATAAGTAGGAGAACCACATTTCATGGCAACCTATAGCAATAAAATTCCTAAAATATCCTAGTGAGATATTCAGCTGTAGAAGCCAAGAAATCTAGAGTGCAAAGCTATGGTAAAACTCAGCAAACAGACAGTATGCCAGATGTCATTAGAGTAACTGTCAGAACGTCTATCCCTAAATATAAATAAACTCTTACTTATAATAATTCATAAATTAATTACAAGAATAATTATAAACAGGTAGATTAAATAAGAGATGAGTTAGCAGGAAGATTGGTAAATAAGTTTCCTTTGGAAATAGCAAATAAACTGAGACAGATAGTCATTTTACTGTCAAAGCACGCTGTGATAAAGACTGCACATCCGCCTTTTATAAGATTCCTCATGAGAATCCCAAAGAATGAGGCTTTTTAAAGAATTTAAACAGCCTCCTAGCAGAGAGCCCATATTCCACATGTGAAGAACAAAACCTAATTTTCCTTGGACTAATATTGATAAAAGTTACAGCTATTTGAAAGAATCCTACTGATGAAACGAGTTTGGACAAGGTATTTTTTCCTATTATGAGCAAAGCATGATTCTTTTCTGTTTGGCTTTTTATTAACTTTGCAAGCTCAAAAATGCTGTGTTTGTCAGATATATATCTAAATGTTAATCCTGTGAAAGAGAGTCACAAAGAAACTTCTAGTTCTATTCTTGTTCAGAAGTAAATTGCCTTCTCAACCTGTATTTCTTATAATCCAAAGCTGTAAAGGGAGCTTAAAGTCTCTCCTGCCAATTTATGTCCATGCATAGCTATCAATAATTGCACCATTGATCCCTTTCATCTGTCTTAATTTGCTTAAACTTATCCAAACATATTCAAACAGTTTCTTTCATAAGCTGCTTTGGTCCACTCCTGCATCAGTGCAGCCCAAGGTGCTGTTGGTCTTTTTGGCTTGTTTGTCACAAGGTCATGTTGATGCCTTTTGTCCAGCCAGGCATCCTCCAGGACCTTTCCTGCAGAGTTGTTTCCCAGGCAGTCAGCCCTCCACTCGTACCTGTGCATGGTGTTGTTCTTCCTCAGGTTCAGGACTTTGCACTTCCCTTTGTTTGTCTTCGTAAGTACCCTATTGGCCCACTTCTTCAGCCTGCCAAGGTCCCTCTGAAAGGCAGCACACTCATGTGCTGCATCAACCACTCCTCTCAATTTTATATCACTTGCAAACCTGCTGAAGGTGCACTCTGTCCCCTCTGTCACTGCTGCAGAGGTTATCCTATTTTGATCTTAACATGTTCAGTGTCAATTTTTATGAACCAGATCCACAGACTGCAAATCCTGGGTATAAATATAATCATGGACTATCCCTTCACCCCTGAGAAAATATTTCTTGCTTGAAAATTTCCCCATCTATTCTGTGTTTGATGTGAATTTGAAAAAAAAAAAAAAAAAAAAAAGAAAAAAAAAAGATTTGGCAACTCTGTCTATACGGAATCATTCCAATGGTTCACCAATTTGCCACAAATTTGTAATCTGGATTGGGGAAAAATACAGCATCTTCAAATCTGAGGCCACGATGATGAGTATTTATTATCGTAATAAAGTCTTTAATGAAGCTAAAGCTGTCTTAGATGTCTTGAGAATTTCCTGGGCCCTGTGAAGACTGGGAAGATTAAGACCAGTCTACTTATTAAGATACAAAAATATGAAGATAACTGTCAGTCTTAAAATTTTTCATTTTTTAAATAGAGCTATGATTAATATTAAAAGGATGTGATGTTCCCATGTTTAGCCCAGTTTAGCTGAGGGCTGCCAAAAACAGCAGTGGAAAGGGGATGAACTTCCTACACTGTACATCTCAATGAGACATGAGCTTCAAAGACGGTGTAGGCAACTGAAAACCTAATGCAATTAGTTAATCAGTTTTTTTCTCCCCTTTATTAGTGTTACATTTAGAGTTCTATATTTGAAACACACAAAAGGAGGAAATGAGCATCTGGAACTCACCTACGTCACAAATACTGCATATTTTGCAAATCATTTTTTAACATGACTTTTTTTTCAGTGCAATGAAAGGTTCTTATTTCCTGCCTGTCACATTTTCATCATTAATGTAGCTTACTGAATAGCTAACAAAATGGTAATGAAAAGCAAAATATCTGGTTTCCTCCATGGTGTGTTTCTGGGAAAATGGTAGAGTGCTTTACCCTACCTGAGCATTTGCCTTTAGTCCTAAGTGGAGAACCCACTTCATAGTATTTTTTTGCATAGTTCTTGTATTCCTGAGACAGTTTCTTAGAACCACTAGGCCACCAGTGTCCTTCTAGCATGACTAATGATTAATAATTGTTATTACTATTATTTACCTGCAAGGGAAAAGTCAAATGACTACTTTTTCAAACAGTGACTACAAGCAATATTAAAAGAAAAGTCTTCAAAGTGAAGCAACTACCAACTGGTAATTATTGTTACTTTTCTCTCACATACCACTCATTCTCAAAAGGATTTACATGTTATTAAAGAAGAGATTCCAAATTTAAACAAAAACAGGTTTCAGCTTCTGAACTAAACTCTGTTTCATATTCTGCAAGTGAATATTCGAAGTTTTCTGTATTTACAGAGGGAAAATCTTTCATTATCTTCTCATCATGTCATCAGAATTCTGCATAATAAAAAAATTTTAGACTCACACTTTTGTTCAGTTGTGTTGGAAAAACAAAATACAACTCCAAAAAATGGATGGAACAACTTATTAAACACCAGATATGGTGGAAAAAAAATTAGATCAATGCTTTCAGTGCCACTGTTGGCTGGCAACTTCCAGTATTTCTGTGAAGGATTCCTAGTCAGGGTGATGTCAATTCAAAAGATCATGTAACATGTTGGAAAAAGTGCATTTAAAAATTCATATTTCCTGCAATTTATATGGATCTCAGATCTAGAATCTTTTGGTCTTTAAAATTAATTTCCATATTAATAAGTCATTATAAAGATGAATAGACTTGTAACCAATCACAGAAATATCTTGCTAGTGATATTCAGTTTTGAGGACCTATTCACACATTGTCAGTGTTTTCATTTATGGAAGCATGATCACAGGAAATGATGAAAGAGCAGTTTTTATAACTTCTAGGTGACTGTCAAAACTTCAAATCCAAATCCAAGTCTGTCAGAGTGAACAAAACTCTTCAGAAACTAATGGAACTGAACCCAATTATGTCAGACTGAACTTGGCTCAGAGACCAAATTTGTTATTAACTCTGTGTACAATCAACTTTTCCTTTGAGGTTAGGGAGAGATATGAATGACATTTATGTCCTTAGGGGAAAGCAACAACAATATCTAGAGATTTAATCCTACCTTCGTTCTATTTTAACAATTTTCTTCAAGTACTATAATAACGCACATGTGAATTCATACTCTAAGTCTTTCCACACATACCCCCAAGCCAAAGTCTTCAAATCTCTTCTAAGACATTTCAGCAAGCACAGTGTTAGATAATTTACAGAATATTTCTTTCAGGGAGAACAACAATTTTAATTTAAGTATGTGTTGTGCACTATGCTGTGTTATCAGTTAGAAAAATACTACCATCCTCTTTGCAGCCTTGATTAACTTTCATGAGATTATTTTTGCAGGGCATTTCCCACTGATAATAACACCAGAATCAGATAAATTCATATAATCCAGAATACACAAAGTGCACTTTAATTTGCAGTATCAACATCATTGTAGATCACTTAGTTTCTCCTAATGATGAGTGATGGTCCTTGAGAATATTGCAACAAAGACTAACTGGAACTGTTGATGTTCTCTGCTTCAAGATCTTCAAAGTTCAGATTCTTTCAGACTGAAAAAAAAGCAAAGAAAAAGAAGCTACAAAGGATATGAAATCTTGTTATCAGTAGAATAAGGCATAAATTTTATAGAAACTCATTTTAGGTTATTTTATGGCATTTCTTAGGGATCTTGATTTTGATGTGTTTTGTTGCTTAACTCGTCTATTTGCAAGCACCCAATTCAATTAAGACCATAAATTCATGGATTAACATTCCTCAATATTTTAGCCAAGGCATATTAACATCCTAATCACTCTCTTAGAGTAGAACTACCCAGCTCATGCCCCCATTAAAGATATGGATTAAAAAAATATTCCCCTTTGCGGTTAAAAGAGTTTAATTGGGGAAATTGTCATAAGTAGCATCAGGTCATTTCTAATTAAAAGATTCTCACTTTGTCTCTTACATGTCCTCATGTTAAATAACCCTGCACTCTAGAATATTCGAATAAATAGTGAAGATAATTTATTCTTAACAGCAGTGCTGGCGGCCTTCCTCTTCTACCATACTGCAAAAACAAACAATAAAACAAGAACAAATCCAAAGGGAAGTCAATAGAAAAAGTGTGTCCTGCTCTCTTTCCATTAATAATTTGTCCTGGGTTTCAGCTTTCCTGTCCACAGAACAGCTGTGACTAACACACTGTCCTCCCACAAGGGCACCAAATGGTGGCAGCACGGCAACAGTGACAATTAAAGCTAATTGGAATAATTGCATTTATAGGAAATCAGTTGTGTGTCAGAGAGAGGACATGCTCTGGCACAGGGAATGGTAGAACCTAAAAGTACATAGTTATGCTGGCAGTGAACTGACCAGTTAACATTTGTACCAGGATATTTCCTTGGTAACATTCTAGATCAGATGAATCAACTAATTATTGCCATTATTTTTGTTAGGGATATCAAATTTACCATACTTTGTTTCCAGAGAAGAAAATATAAAGACACAGAAAGCCCTTTTCCCATCTCTCCCAACCTGTTTTTGGCCTTCATACTTCTAGTCAGCTCATTTAATGCATTCCTGAGTGAGAACACAGACAGACCATGAAACTAGCTGAGGTTTTAAAATTACATATCCTCTCTACAAGGGTAAATCACTTAATTATTGATAAGGCTGTTGGAGAAAGACCAGTGTTTCAGCTCCAAAGAAAGTGAGAGAAGCTATACCTTCAGTTCATGGGGCAAGCAGAGCCATATGGGCACTGAGTACCTCAGACCTTCCTCGAGGCTCTGCAGCACCTTTGGCTGCACTCTTGTTGCAGGGTAGATACAAAAAAAAAAAAAAAAAAAGAAGAGGAAAAAAAACAGATGAAAGGTGATGTTTCTTCCTCTGATTGATAGTGGGAGGCCTAGGACATGAAACCACTTGTTTGGGGGATTCATATCCAGCTATCTCTCCTCCCAGTGTTACCAGCCAGTTGGGTCCATGGTGCCTTTGTCTGTGGCACTGGGAGCAGTGAAATGGGCCTCTGGAGACTTGTGAGCCCAGTGCAGAGAAGGGTCATTAATCACTTTTTTCCCCCCAAAGTACTCTGCCTGCGTCTAGAGCAGCTCCACATTACTTGAAGGATGGTCATGGAATTAAGTGAACTTGCCCTCACCCAAATCGAAATGAACATTCTCATCATATAACATTGGATAATTTCATCATGTAGGACAATGGTTTTAAACTGAAAGAGGGCAGTGTTTAGATTAGATATTAGGAAGAAATTCTTCACTATGGGAGTGGTGAGGCACTGGAACAGGTTGCCCAGCGAGATTGTGGATCTCCCATTCATGGAAGTGTTCTAGGCCAGGCTGGACAGGGCTTTGAGCAACCTGGTCTAGTGGAAGATGTCCCTGCCCACGGCAGGGTGGTTAGAACCAGACGACATTTGAGATCCCTTCCAAAGCAAATCATTCTATTATTCCATGATAACAAACTAATATGAAACGTTAGTTTCCTCCATGCCTTCCTATCAATCTCTGTATTTGAAAACACATTGTACTTTTGAAAAACATTGAGGTCTGCCAATAAAAAGGAATGCAGGGGCTTTAAGTGCTCCTCTGCAAAAACCACACAGTATATCATTTGTTCAACACACTCATTCACATTAACAGGCACACTTGAAGACACAGGAAAAACACTTCCCCAGTAAACTATGTTTAAACAACTATATCCAGAGATAACCAGACTGACTGATGAAAGCTGCATTTGGGCCCATGTGTAAGCTCCTGTAAGTAATCTGCATTCTTTCCCTAATTAATAAAATATATATTGTTTATTTCATGGAATTTCATGTTTCATATGTCTAATTATAAATTAATATTAAATGTTAACACAGAAAATTATATTAATATATTTTAATCAAGATTGAAAAAACCTATTAATTACTATTTGAGTGGCTTTAAGTGCCATTGAATCATATGTGACTCAGTTATTTGCTCCACTGCTAAAGCAATGGGGTTTTGAGCAAGACACTAAGGATTTCTTACTGACTGCCTATAGCACATTTCACCCACTCAGCCTTCATCCTTCTATCTTCTCCATCTGAAACTAAGAATTTCTCATGCATTAAATCTGAAGGTTGCTGATTAGATTTAATTCATTGATCACTTCTTAATTTAATTCACTGTTTCTGTTATGGGAAAAACAGCTGAAAGCCTACAGAAGACTGGTGGCTAACTCCAACATTCTGCAATACCTCCTGATATCTCTACAAATTTTCGACTTGGTTTGTCAAACTGCTAGATTATCATCTGAAATTAAACCAGTGGAAATTTCTAGCTCTTTCACTCAAGAAAAAAATTAGTATTCTTCATGTTCAGAAGCTATGAACCAAGAAGAAAAAAACACCAGTTGTAATTTTCATAATTTTTTAATTTCTTTTTTTTTGACTCTGGAGGTTGGCCAGGTTGTTATTGTGTGTTTATAGATGTCTTATCAAACCTCTCAAGCTAAATTGTCTCAATGAATGGACTTAGAAAGATCACCTCTCCTTTCTGTGTTGCTGTGGATAATAATGGTATTTATCTCTCCCAGAGAAGTATTTGAGGATCTGCTTAAGTATCAATTATCTGACATCTGAAGGCACAATAGAAGTGAAAAATAGGGATATAAGTAAGCAATACTTACCACTTAACTATGTAAGGCATAGAGTTACTTCTCAAGACATGAAATTTTGGAGCTATGTGTTATGTGAATATCCCGTATGGTTCCCAGCACGAACAAAATCTGAACAAAATTACGGGACTCGGATGCCTCACTAATAGTATTTCACATTAAATAAAGACAACAGCAAGCATTACCAGAGCTGCATTTCCATGCTCATTGTGCTTTGAGAATGACCACAACCTGAGATGATGGAATTGTCACCCTAGCTAAGCAATTAGTTTCTCATTTAATATTACAATGGTTGTGAATGCCCAGCATGTGCTTGGACGGCCACAGCAGAGACCACCAGCATCATTTAACGTGTTGTAGTTTTTTGTTTTGGGTTTTTTGTGCAAATCACTCAATGTGTTGTTTAAAAGACTAGGGATGCAGTTAAATGACCACTTTTCTTATTTATCTACCAGCAACTGAATCATTCTATTCTTTTAAGAGTATAAATTTAGATGCTTTTGCATTTTTATTCATTTTTCCTTTATAATGTAGTCCTCTGTCAGGGCAACTAAAAATCTAGAGAAAAGCTTGGTTTGTCTAAACAATTCACCCTGCTGCTTTAAAAGTAAAGGAAAGCTTCTCACAGATTAATGGAAAATAAAACCATGCAATAGCTGGTTTCAAAACACAGTATAAAGTTTAGCTGGCTTCTAACCAATGCCCTGATTCACAAAGGATTTCAGATTCCACACAGGCACTCAGCACCTAAATCCACAAGTGTTCTTCACAGAAATCCCCACTTATACTTTGGGTCTCCTTGGGTGATGACAAATAAAAGCTGCAGCATGTCTGTTTATCCTCTGTGGATGTGATAGCTTCCAACTCTGCTTCCTTCCAGCAAGGGCCTGGCAGGGCTGGGGATGCAGGCAGTGATCTCAGCAGTGATTTGATGCTGGTTTAGCAACCATGGGGGTCACACTTCAGTAGCTGCAGCAAGAAAATGGTGTGGAGGCTGTGATTCAGAGAGGAATCTGAGACTTAAGATACTTCCAATTTTGTTTTCCAGCACTGACACATTTACAGGGCTTTAATATCAAAACTGGTGGTTTATCCATAAGCAAAAATATATTACTTTTGATAGTTTCTTCATTGTGTTTAATGATTTTTAGAAGGGGAGGGAAGAAGGAAGCAGAAGGAAGAAACACTTGCAAAACACTTCACTCTTGCTGTTATCGATGGCACACTCCCCTTGACTCAGGAAGGAGTGAGATGAGATTAATTGTAAGGAAGCCGAGGTGATGTGCAATCAGAAAAGAAAGACAGGTGAAAATACAGTCCTAGACCCAGACATCAGTTTGAGCTTTTTCCTTGGCAACACCTTTCTACTGGAATGTGTGGGGACATTCTATAAGATTAGTAACTCCTGGCAGTTGCTCCAAAGCACTTACCAAGGGCCAGATTTCTCATCTCTGTTGGAATGAACTGATGCTCATATCACTGAACAGTATTTTAACATGTTTCAATATACAGTTTTTTGTTACAAGACCCTTTCATTCTTTATGAAGGTAAGCCATCAAAGAAAGATAGGGGAAAGACAGCAAGGCTATATAAATTTGGAAGACCAAAAAGAGGAAAAGGAAAATGAGATGGGAAAATAAAAACAAAAATTAAATAAGTGCAACTACATGACTAACTATGGGAATTCCTTTCTCATTAGCTAACTTTAGTTCCATGTCAATGTTAGGACCTGCCATAACTGTTGCATATAGTAATTAGATGCATTTTAAAAAAATAGGGCAATACCTACAGCTTCCTTCTTCATTTGGTGAAATTTCATTGTTGGCAATATTTAAAGAGCTGCAACTCCTACAAGAACATCACTGCTCCATCTTAGATCCAGAGTTTTCTAGCACTCAAAAATTAGAAGACTGTTCAGACTGAAATATTTAGTTCAACTTCTAAGGGACATGAGGAACAAGAAGCCTGTTTGCCAGAGACGTGGACGTACCTGAAGGTGTAGTCTTTCACCCCACTGTTTGGGCCAAGCATCAGGAAGGCAATGTTCAACACAGTGAAATGAGCTAAAGGGAATATGGGACACAACAAAGAGAAAAAGGAGATTTAAAACATTACAGTAGAACAATAACTACACAAGGCTTTCAAATCTTAAATAGCATTCTACCCATCCAACCTGACATGTCAGTTTCAATTGTAAAATATTTGGGATAAAGAATAAGGAGTTTGTAATTTCACTTCATTTGTTTTTTAGACATAAACAGGGAATTTTTGACCCATCGCTGCCATCAGCCAAGTAACACAGTCCCAGCTAAGGCCAGCTGAACAAGAAACCTACTCAGAGCTGGACCTCTGCTCCAGACTGTCTCTACCAGAAGCAGTGTTTTAAAAGAGTAAATGAAGATCAAGGAATTTGAAACTGCCCAAGGCAGTTAATTTTATTTTTTTTTTAAATGTACTACTTCTCATCTCCACACATGAAAACAGAGCCAGTAGTGATGATATCATGTACTGAGTTCTCTAAATGGTACTGTACACAACAAACTGGTTTGGTTTTGACCATATAAAGTCTAGTTTAGTAGTAGTTTTTTGTTCATTTTAGTTATTCTAGTTCATCTTAGGACAACAGACTTGTGTAAAATATTATCATAGGAAACATATGCTTTTCCTGAGCTAGATTTCAGTTGCTTTTTTCTCTCCCCCTTTTTAAACAGTATTTACACAGCATTTTAATTAACTTCTGAACACTTCAGGTTTACAGCTGCTATAATGGATGATTCACAATGATCAGAACAGAGGTTTCCATTCCAATTTTGTGAAATAGTGGTGTTCTTTGTATTCGTACCTCAGCTACACTGATATCAGCCTAACTGGACGTTTTCACCATAGAGGTGGCTTCTGTGATTACATTTGACCAGCCATAAAAGGGATTTCCCAGAACAAGGAATGCAAACGCTTTTATAGCCTTTTAGGTAACATCAGAATTTTTTTAAATTTTGTTAATATGAGCTTTTGCCAATCACTAACAGCATGATCCAAATCCCATTTGAAGGCAATGGAAAGTCTCCCATTGAGTTTGATGGCCTTTGGATCAGTCCCTAAGTGCATTTAGACTTAATGAGATGTTAATGTGAATTTTATGCTGCTGTGTATAGGAATAGATCTTCCAAACTTCCCCCCCCCTTCACTAATGCAAAAAGAGTGATCTGCCTTTTTAAATTTTTAAATTTTATTTTCCTGCTTTAATCGTTATGCACGCAAAAGGAGGATTTATGCAGCTCATTCTGTTCCCTACCTTCACCCCCTCCCACCAACCTTTATCACTGACAGACTGAAAACTGCAGAGAGCATCACCGGCTCTCGGGGGCGTCTAAATGAGAAGGAAATATCGGCGTCCCTCTTTGGCTAATTACGGTCTTGAAACTTCGGTTTGAAGAACGGCAAAATTAAGGCTTGGGGGGTGGATGAAAAAAAAAAAAAGAAGAAAAAAAGAAAAGAGGAAAAAAACCCCAACACCTAACAACACGAACAACCAAAAACCACCAAAACATGGGGAAAGCGGTAGAGTTTAATCTTGGTTTCTTGCACCACCTGGCGGGAGATGTGAGCTGGGTCAGGTCCTTCCCCGCACCCAAAGCGACAGCCCGGGGCTGCGGAAGGTGGGGAGGGAACCGCTTCCTTCTCCCGCGGGTTTTTGGAGTATTTTACCCGCCCCAAGGAAGGCAGCCGAGGGTGGGAGGAGAGAGTGGGCGCCGGGTGGCAGGTCTCGGCTCACGCACCTCCATCGAGGTGAGATTTCTTGTTGGGCGCCAGAAGGCAATGATGCTTATTCCGCAGCTCCTTAGCGCTGTCAAGCGAGTTTGACTTCCCGGAGGACGCGGCGACATTGTGTGACTCACCGCGGCGAGAAGATTAACCCCTTCGTTTCATTGGCCTGAGGCACGACCTGCTGGTTATGCACAGGTTTGCAGAGCTGTATGCCTGTTGGACAAGTAAGTATTTCATACATGAATACATAGGAATTCTCAGAAGAGAAAAACACATCTTGTGGAAATGTCTCAGTCACCCTGAGAAGAAGAAAACCATAATTTGCTCAGGGTCAGTTACATTGATGACCTAGGGAACACCCACTGAGTGTGGAAAGTTGGAGACTCATCACAACATCTACTGTAGGATGCAATTTTCATCAGTGTGAGAAACTCCGATATTTCTCAGAAACTGTTATCTTAAATCTAATATTTTATAAATATTTGGAATACAGACAGAAGTTAAAGGCAACATTTTCATGCCCTTAGGCAGAAAGTGAGCTTTCTCTGGAACACACTGCTCCACATCTTTAAAAATCTAAGTAGAAGATTCACCCCAAGCTGAATTACAAGGGAATCTCTGGCTCCAGACAACTGGAGCTAGGAGGGTGGCTGAAGTGACACATCCTTCCTAGGACAACTGTCCTAGCAAGAAGGTGAGAAGTAGGCTTCAGACTATGAGAGTTATTCTGGTTGCTCAACAGCCTAATGGCCTGATAACTTTTTTGAGCTACCTTGAGCGGGGCACTATGATGAGGCTCCAGAGTCTCAGACCCCTTTCCTTAGACAAGTTAGGCAGCTTGTCTAACAGCACTAACACAGCGATGATGACACAGGGTTACACTGTGAACTGAAGCACAGGGAGAGAGAGATTTGCATCAGGCCATGTGATAGAGGATATCCAGCTATGTGACAGCGTGAGTGCATGCAGTCAGGACTGTACAACAATGACTCTGGGCATATGGTTAGACACATGGAAAGAGGGTTTTCCATGGATTCATAGCCAAACTACATGGCCTGCTTTGGCAGAAGAGGTGGCAAGCTCTGACCTAGGTATTTGACACCACTGGGGTGGAAGTAGCTGAAAAGTTTCATCATTTATTAGTTTTCCTGAGGGCCCAAGAAGGAAGAAAAAAAAGAAAGTGTTACCAGCAGTGAATATTTATAACAATCATTATTTATTTTCTCTCCATTCCTTCAATATCTGCTTCTGTGGTAAAGGCCAGTTATTTGACAGGCTGCAGAGTATAGATTCTCACTGTGTTGATTGATAATTGAGGTATTTGTAAGTCAGACTCCATTATGTAAGGTGTTTGGCATGCCTGACTTTTAAATAGAAACTTTTCTCAAACATGCATCTTGAAAGGCCATTACAAACCCTCTTTTCCCAAAAAGCCTGAAAAGAGACATACTATCTCTATCTTCTTTAAATGTCATCAAACTAAGCCTATTTATTACACACTTCAGATTCAGCTTAACATCTTCAGCATGATGTTGTATTTTAGGAGAATGGTAATCTCTTAGATTGCTTGCAAACATGCTGTTCTTCAGTGAAAAGAAAGAGAAGTATGCCCTGCATTAAACCCAAACCAGAAAAACTTGCATTTACCAGAGAACTATTGTTATGCACTTGGTCAAGAATTTTCTGATCTAGCTGAAGTATGAGCAGCTTTTAACATTAACCACTTGCAAAGCATACTGGAACATGGCCATGGATAGGAGTAGTAAATATTGAGATATGAAATCACATCCTCAAATAGATAATTCCTGCAGTGCGCCAGTCACAATAGCTGTATCAACTCAAACTTTCATCCCACCCAGATTGTATGGGTATGTCCAACACCTGGTTTATGAATCCTGCCAGCAACACAGGAGCAGCAATAGTGCACCAGGCGAGCTGTAGCAGATGACATCTTTTATCTACATTCGCAAGCTGATCACCCCAGCTGTTTGGTACAGTTTGTTTACTCCTTGAATTCCCCCCATGCTTCCTCTCTTTGCCCTCATCTGCACTGAGCAAAAAAGTATATAAATGAAAAGGAGCTCAGGCTGATAGACCACAAGTTCACTGCCAGAGGAAGGTTAGTTCCCAGACACGTAGAACCCGAAGACATTACATATTTTGTCTTAGCTGCACTCAGTGAGCAGTGATTATTTACAGGGTCCAGGGTTTAAGTGTGGCAGATGGATGCAGACTACCAGTTCCCATGAACAAAGATTCTGTTTCAAAAAAAAAAAAAAAGGTGTGTTCAGCTTCTGGAAAAGAAATTTACCTCTCAGCAGGGACTGGCAGCTCTAATCTTATTTACATTTCTCAAAGCAGTGGTACGCATCTCTCTTTCTCAGCCCTAACTCGTTCTGCCAGCTGAAGCTGTGCTACACAGATAGGTAGTAAATAACGTGGGATTGTGCAGATTGTTGTGAGGCCTTTTCCTTCTTCTGTGCTGCGAGTGCCTTTTCAGAAGAAACAGTTAAGCTGTCAGCAGAGCAGGATTACAAATCTGATACTCAGTGCACTTTTGGACAGTTAGAGCTTGCAGGCGTTTTCCATGAATAGGCGCCAATCTTTTCACTGCCACACTGGTGAGGTGTTCTGTTGGGTTAGTCATTTTTTTAGACAGAGATCAGAGAAACAAGCACAGGAAGGTAAAAACAGATATCATTTTGTAGAATCATGTAAGGCAGAAAAAAAGCTAACGTTATGAGACAATGGCATTTTACTCCTAGGCTTTGAATTAAAGAGTCTTTCAACCTTATTTAGAGGATTTGCATTGTCAAAGCAAAATTCCTGATCATAATCACTTGTTGCTGTAAATACTGAGGATTCTACTCTGTGAAAATACAGATGAGACATATTAGCAAACATAGCATTGAGTCTCATTATGACTTCTGTGCATAATGAAAATGTTAAAAGCAGTACAGTTTCTTTTGAAATAATGCTAGCACTTAGAGTATAATGGTGCACCCTTGAAGATGTTATTTTACAAATGTTCAGCATGCAGGCACTCATACTAATGCTTGTTGTAATACAACAGAAACCTGTACTCCTATAAATTCTCACTAAGGCAATCTACTTAGAGGGATGGGAGGAGTTGCCTTTATGTTATATTGTTCATTTGAATGTCAACGTCATTCGCCATTCCTCTATTCATATGGCTTTATTAATAAAAATATTTCTTAGGTGGAGATGAGCAAACAACCCAGATTAAAAGCACGTAAGGCTCCGGTGATTACAGCAACAGTCAGTGCCTCTGGGCAGCCACCTCTGCTTGAGGGATTTGGGCTCACACCCTGAAGGCGTTAATAAGGTCGGGAGTCTCAGGCATAGTAATAAGGGAGAAGTTCCCAGATTTTGAAGAGCCTTAGGCTCTGTTATACCTCTCAACAGCTGCTCCTGGCAGAAGGAGTCACAGCATTGTCCTGTGGTGGAAAATTACTGATCCAGTTCCATAGGTCAGAGGCTGAAATTTCTGGGGCTGGTGTACATCACAGGGCATCACTGCTCCTGCCACCAGCCTGACAGAGAGCGACCACCCACACCTGACAAATCGATACGATCCTGTCCCACAGATCTCCCTCTTCACAGGGAGGTGCTTTGAAGTAGAAAAAAGAAATGTCATAGAACTCATGATAAAAACCTGAACTCTGGCAATAGAATGCCTCCTTTTGGTTCTATTAACAGCACAAACAGCAGGTACTAGCACAGATGAAGCTCTACTGTGTGCTAATAGGTAACACAGTTTCTCTTTATCCCTAAATAAAAAGACTACAAGGATGAACACAAGGAAGGGAAAAACAAAACACAAATACATTAAACAACCAACCAACCAACCAACCAACAAAAGGGGGTCCCTAAAATCTTTGAAGCCAGAGTTTATTAGAATTTCTGGTTATTTCCCCCATCATAGTGCAATCAGATTCACTTACTCAGTTATCTTAGATCCTGAACAGTTTGGCATGATACTTATAGAGAAACAGGAGGGAGGAACTGCCATGTCATCTTCCAACACTCTAATCAATTTTATGCTGGTTTTACTGAACTGGAAAGTGTGCATTTGTTTTTGTGGAGTATTGCCATTAAACGTGTTTTCTCAAATAATGCAGATTATTTCCAGGAAAGAGATGAAAGAAGTCTATAGTTTTCTACAGTGAAAATGTCCTGAACAGTGCAGCCTGTCTCTCCACTATGTTTTTCAAAAGAAAAGCTCCCCCTAAGGCTCTGCGCAGAAGATGACAGTAAAGAGAATGTACCTTCTAATGCCTAATTGGTTACCACAGAGAAAATGTGAATTGCAATGAAAGTGATACAAAGATACAGTTTAAGGCCAACATGTTTCTTTGTCCTTACTGTCATATATGAAATTATAACATTGAAGTAGAAACGTGGCAGGTTGCAATAATTGTAACCAAATTTCTTGTAAGCAACAGAAATAATATTCTTTTTTTCTAGTAAACTACTTCTCATTTTACTGCATCTTCACACACATGCACTATGGATGAGTTCTCAAAATACTATATTTTGCCTTTAATTATCTAGAAGAAGAGTTTAATGTCACAGAAATAACAGAATATTCTGAGTTGGAAAGGACCCACAAGGATCAATTATAGAATGCTATTTTTTTAAATTACATGGAAAACATTTTTTCCTCACTGTCTCTGTGCATGTATTTCTACAAATAGTGGCATCTTCTCAGCTTTTACTTAGACCACTCCTACTAGGTAACACCACTACCATAATGTCCAGGCCATGACAGGATGTCTTTCTGTCCAGTCCAGAAAGGACTGTGGTGGGTTGACCTTGGCTGGACACCAGGTGCACACCCTGTGGCTCTATCACTCCCCTTCCCAGCGGGACAGAGGAGAGAGTAAGGCGGAAAAAACCCAGCTCATGGGTTGGGATAAGGCAGTTTATTTAAGGCAAAAGGTAAAGCGAAGCTTGAGCACACAGGACCAAAAGATAGCAGGGTTTACTCTCTACTTGCCATGAGTAGTGATGGTCGGCCACTCCCAAGAAGCAGGGCTTCAGTACGTGTGACTGTTTCTCAGCAGGCAGCCATTAGGCAATGAATCCCTGCCCTCCTGCTCTTTGCCTCAGCTTTTATATCTGAGCTGAAGTCATATGGTATATCCCATATATCCCACATCATATATCCAAATATCCCTTTGGTCAGTTTGGGTCAGCTGGCCTACTTGGGTCCCCTCACAGGATCTTGACCTCAACTAAGGAAGGAATGTTACAGTGTTGGTGCTGTGCTCAGCAGTAGCCAAAACACCATTGTGTTATCAACACCCTTCTAGCTGCCAATGCAAAGCACAGCACTGTGAGGGCTACTGTGGGGAGATGAACTCCAGCTCAGCCAGACCCAATACAATCTCCACCCCTTATTCCATACCACTTACGTCATACTCAGATCTCATATCTGACTATCTCCTGCGCTAGCACAGATCTTCCACCACTTCAGGTCTTGGGATCCATTCTGTTGGGATGGGTACTGAGGGCAGGAGAGGTAATTGATCGTTGGGCACCAACACCAGCCCGGCTCGGGTCACTGTCACACTGTCGTTGGTCCTGACAGAATTTGCTCTTCATTGTCCTGTGACTTTACTTCCTGCAACACAACTCAAAACACAGATCATCTTTTTCCCATGGTTAAATCTCCTTGAGGCACACTCCGGGTCTTCCCATCTTCCTTCATTACTCACCAGGTACACCCTGGTCCCTGAGCAAAGACAATCCCATGGATAGGTTTGCATTTTCTCAAGGGAGGAGAAACCCACACTGACTTCCTCAACCACTTCCCCATGTGTAGTACTGGGACTTTATCCCCTCCCACAGTGTGTAGGGTTTTTTTTGGGAAGGACAGGGCAGTTGGCAGATCCCCTAGTGTTGACTTGAAGATCCTCTCTCTCCATCATTCCTTGAAGCTACCAGCCATACCACACAATCAAAAACATACAAAACCAAAACCTTTCTAGTTTTTACTTCTGTTATATATGGGAGTCATTCTAACTGCAGATGTTCCCCTGGAATTTGTGGCAAAAAATAATATGCAGTCACATAACTCTGGAGCTCCCTTAAAAAGTGCTTAAGTCTGTGAGAAGTTTGAGCCTTGCCCGTATTCAAGATTTTTTAAAAAAACATTATTAGTAGATTCTTCCCTTTTCATATTATGAACTTCTTACTGCTACAAAATTAGTGCTGAGATTAATGAAAATGCTACAAGTGTGGAGAACTTTTCACAGATGCACAGCTGGGTGAAAAAAAGGAAACCTTTGAGCAAAGGAGCTACTGGCTGACAGAACAGAGCAGAAGTGTGAGCTAAGACAGTGAATACCAAATAGCACAAGCATGAGTTTTCATTACCTAGGAGCTCTATCTTTTTTTATTATTATTATTATTTTTACCATGTATCCTCTAATTTTTCAATCACCTCATGATCTTCTGACTGACAGAAGTAGTCAATCTCTATACAACTATTCTGGATTATTTTATTATGGAGAATTATTTGATAACAGGGCATGTTTTATCTCTACCTATCTTTAGGTGATCTCAGTGAGAAGCTGGGAAAACTCAAAGGAACTTGAAGAAAATGTGTAGGTAAGTGACAAGGGAGAATGAAGGTAAATGAAAAATGCTCCTGTGAGGAATATGAATTTAGTAATACCTTCCCTCTAAACACAAAACTGAGACATGACCATGATGTCAGGATTAATGGATGTACACAGCATTTCAGGATTGTGTGAGTGGTAGAAACAAGACTGTATTTTGATTTTCTATAATAGAAAGCAAAATTAGAAACTGTAAGACAAAGAATGGTGCTCTAAAATCTGTTCTCTGTAGACTGATGAAGACTGCAAAAGAAAAGAAACCCACATTATTGAGCTAAATTATACTTCTACGAAATGTTTGAGGAATGAGTGAAGAATTTTGCAGTTCAGTTCCTAAATTCACTTTCACTGCAAGCATATGTTTGCCAACATGTCAGTGCTAACTCAGCTCTCTCTGTCAGTTGCTTTTCTTCTGAGGGCTGTCTCTGATATTCTTCCTTTCCATTATCATTTGTCACCTGGTAGATAAAACTTTAGATTTCTGAGCTTGATAGGCCAAAAGTTCAACAGCAAAGAGCCTGCTGGTCAATGTAGTGAGCTATGACAGGCTGAACAGCAACATTACATTAGTTAAGGAGTGCTGGTTTTTCCTAACCCAAAGGCAATCATAAATTTAAATTCAGAAATTTCTGGCCTGTAAGAATGATAACTCTGGGATTTTATTTGTTTGTTTGTTTGTTTCTAGACTATTAATCACAATTTGTATTCTATCTCCAACATATTTTCCACCTTGGTTGGAGATAACAAGAATAGTAACTCAAAGTTTTTATTTCTATACCTTGAAAAGAACTTGTTCTATGCTTTCAAATGTAGAAAAAGCCCTGATTTGACATATACATGCTAAATATGACAGAATTTTATAACTCAAATTATCATCAATTTTCCCTGTTCTCTGTTCCACTCTCTTCTTCTGTCTAACCAGCATGCTGACAGCAGGGCTGACTGCATTCTTATGACACAATGGGTTTGGGTTTTTTACTTTGCTGTCAGAAGAAATAAAACACAAAAGGAAATAGTAGCTGTTGGAATGACTCTGGTGGGATGCTCTATTTACTTCTGTGGATTTGTGTGTTTTTATGTCAAGAATTTGTGAAAATAATAGTGAAAATGAGAAGTTACCTAATACATTACAACTCTGTGAAGGGCCCTCATTCAGCTCCTCTGACATTCATACCTTATTCCTTGTGATCCTGCTGGGCAGTGTGTGTGTTTCCATTTGTAGCTCTCCAAGGACCACACACTGCAAAGCAATCACACAGGCAGCAGTGACATCACTCTTAGGTACAAACAACCACCCATAACCCTACCTATTAATTTCGTCAGACACCTCAGCCTGCTTCTCTTGTTTCCAAAGACTTAAATAGAAAAAATTAGAAGTGCTAAACAGAAAACATAGCATGTTTAGTGACTACATCTTTTGAAATCAAATAATACAAGGTTAAGTTGAAAAGATGAGACTTCAGCAGAAAAGAATTTTGCTTAATGGAAAAATATGAGAAATTTCCTCTTGATCATGTCTTCTGGCTGTATAGCTGCCATGTGCCTGTGTGAACACTTCCTAAAAGGATATTATTTCTTTGAGGCCTTGAATTTTTTTCTCTCAAGCAGAAAAACACTTGGGAAACTCCAGCTAATAGAGAATGCAGCCACATGTCTCCTCTGCAGCACCGCTACTGAGAGCACAGTAAGCTCATCCTTTGCTCTTTACAATTCCTTCCCACAGAATATCAAATTAAATTCAAGGTCTCAGCACTTATCTGCAGTGTTTAGACACCCAAGGCTATATCCAAAGTGGTGAGCACAAAGCACATGGGAGCTTTTGTGTCCTGAAAAGACCCTGTGTCCACACTGGGGTAAGATCAGTGCATGCAGAAAATCCGTCTTATCATTCTGTCTAGGTTTTCCATAGGAAAGGTGTGTAGTAAAGGCAGTTGCTTCAGATGAGACACAAAGCAAGGCAAGGGGTGTAACAGTGTGCAGAACACAGAACAGAAATTCTTTCTGATAGATATCTTATTCTGGAGATAAATAAGATATCTGATAGGCATCTTGTTCTGAACCTGGCCTGTATAAAAAACAGTGTGGCCAGCAAGACCAAGGCAAAAGTAACTTTTGGGGTTTTTTTGCTAATAAATCTCTTGGGATGAATTAATGTAAATCAACACTAGATAATCATTGTTTACATATATATATATATACACACACATATGGTATATTTTAGAACAATCTGGTTGCAAAGGAAAACAGGTATGTAGCCATTTTGGTTGTTATTATCTATAGCAATATGGCAATATAAAAGCATAAAGATACGACCCAATAAAATGTGTAAGGGAAAAGAGAGAAAGAAAGAAAAAATAAGGGTTTATATTTACCATCCAGAGGTCTCCAATGAACTTGGTTGTTGTCACTGTTGTCTTGGTCTGTTGGGGAGTGGTGGGGGAAAGAAGCTCATGAAACATAAAGGGGGTTTATATCCGCTCAGAATCCCTCCTGGTACTTTCCTGGAGAGAGTGTGTGTGTGTGTGTGTGTGTGTGTGTGTGCTTGTTTTGCAGAATCGTGCTGGTTTTGTGGGAAAGACTCAGAGGCTGGATGTGCTGGTCTTTTGCACATTTAGGCTGGAGGTGGGGGGTGCTTCAGAGTCACTCCCCCCAAGAGTGAGGCTCTCTCCAGGTTCATGGTGGGTGCGTGCACAGGGGGTCCCCTTTGGCATGGTCTGGCTCATGGGAGATCAGCATCACACACTCAGAGACTGGCCCCTTGGCCTCCAAGAAGCTGAGTTTGTGGGCTGTGGCCTCCTCCCCTCAGCCTTTATCTTCAGTTTGCTGGCAGGAGGCATCTTTGTATATCTTGCTACAGTAGCAATGTTTAAAAGTAGTTAAAAAAACCAGTTCCTCACAAGGTGCTCGAAGGATTCCAGAGAAAGGCAATGGAGCTCCTGAAGGGTCTAGAGAATAAATCTGATGAAGAGCAGCTGAGGGAGCTGGGGCTGTTCAGCCTTGAGAAAAGGAGACTCAGAGGTGACCTTATTGCTCTCTACAACTCTCTGAAAGGAGGTTGTAGCCATGTGGGCTTTGGTCTCATCTCCCAGGCAATCAGCAACAGTACAAGAGGAAATGGACTCAAGCTGCGCCAGGGAGGTTCAGGTTGGACATCAAGAAGAATTTCTTCACTGAAAGGGTAGTTAAGCACTGGAATAGACTGCCCAGGGAAGTGATGGAGTCACCATACCTGGGACTGTTCAAGACACTGCTGGATGTGGCACTTGGTGCCATGGTTTGCTTGACATGGTGGTGTTCAGTCAAAGGTTGGACTTGATGATCTTGAATTTTTTTTCCAACCTTAATGATTCTATCATTCTGAAGACCACATAACTAACTCCCCCATAAACTAGGGAGCATTACCAAAATTTCAGCCCAATAAAAAAGACAACATTCCGTGCCATCTTTAACTCAACTCTTGCCACAGATAAATGTTTATCAAAAGAAAAAAAAAGTTTTTTTAAAAAGTAAACTTATAACAACAAAATAGTCCTCTTGGAACGACTATGTGATTAAACGCTGTAGTTGAGGCTGCTTTGCTTTCCAGTGTGCAGAGCTCATTATATTACCCACATTTTCAAAATAGTTTTTCCTTATGGACTACATAAGAGATTCCTTTTATAAAGGCAGCCTAATTATTCTTGATGTACTGGATAATGTTAGATTTTAATTAAAAATATTTAAAATTCCTTCATAATAAAAAGTGACAAGGACTTGGTACTTTTTGGCTCTCAAATTTTTAACACATTTATAATTCCTAGAAGTAATACAGATAACAGTTTGAAATGCATCTTCTACTTTCCAAAAATGCAGTTTGGAAAATTTTTCCAAACCTGCATTTAAAATAAGTTTTTATCATTGTGACCTGTAATATCCAAGTCAAGAGATTCTTAATTCCATAAGGATTTTTACTAAACTCATTCAAAGCCACTTGAGGAAATGAAAAAATACAGAGTTGGACTTTTAAACCTGTTTGCAATTTTTCTTTTGGGAGAATTTGGAAAAGCTCTGATTTTAAGGGTGAGTATTTTTTTCTGCTGAACTGAATATCAAAGCTTAATGTAGATTATTAAAACCAGATATACAGAAATTAAAATGCAACTGTGAATTTTGCACAAAAAATAACAACCAGATCAAAGCTTTGGGGCTTTAAAGGTTGCGTTTAAATTTACAATGCTAATTAATTCAGATAATCATTCCTGGAACCAGAATTGGGAGCTCTTCAGACAATTGCAAAATTGGGCTAGAAATGTCTCAGGTAGATTTGGGCAACTGAAAGCAAACAATAGTTTGTGATTTTTTGATTTTCTGCTTGTAATAATGAGTGAATAGAGTTCTTGAGTCTTTTCTAAGTGGATAGAAGTTTCTTTATGTAGGTGTTAATGTGCAGCATTAATTTTGCAAAAGATCACCCGGTGAGTAACAAGAAAGCAGTGATTTGAATAAATTATGAGATGCAAACTTTTTCAATGCCACTTCTCAGTTGGTCAGATTTGTATTGTGAGAAACCAGAAATGAAGAAAACTAGATAATTAGAATTAAAGACAAGCTTTTTTCTTTCTATTTCTAAATTAAATATTGCAAGAACAGGTACAGAGCTGTAGCCAGACAAATGTCCCTTGTGAGTCACTCAAAATTCAATCACAGCCTGAATGCTTTTTCACAGTTGTGTCCTTGATTTTACTTCCTTTAAAGTCATAGATCCATTAGCAAACTTTGGTCTCTTTAATTGTAATGCCATGAGAAGTAAAATGGTTCCTTCATTTGGAGCTGAATGGAGCTGTGTCTGACCCAGTGCAACCCCTGGTCTCTTCTCACAGAGGCCACATCAGCAGCTCCCCCACTGCCTGCATGTTGCCACCTACACCTAGTACACTGCTGCATTTTTCATTTGTAAAACCAAAAAGCCTTTTAAAACTACCAAAAGGCAATTTCAACCCTGGTATCACA